GCATGAGCTGAAGGGTTTGTTGCAAGCGTGAGTGTTTCTTCTTTTTGAAAGGGTATGAGATGAGTAATTTTTTTGTTGGGTCAGGTAATCTAGGTGCAGCTCCTGAGCTGCGCACAGTTGTGGTCAAAGGCGAGAATCGCCAGGTGCTGAATTTGCGCGTCTTTTTTGACTTGCATAAGAAGGATGCCGAAGGCAAGTGGGTTCAAGATGAGCAAGCCTCTTTCTGGAAGACGGTTTCTCTTTGGGATGCCCGCGCAGAGCGTGCAGCCAAGATTTTGCGCAAGGGTGCTCGCGTGCGCGTGGAGGGGCAACTAAAGCGCCAACCCTGGACAGATAAGAACGGCGAAGAGCGACAGGATGAGGTGCTAGAGGCCGAAGAGGTATTCCTGTCGTTGTCTCGTGTCGAGTCTGTGACTTGGAGAGAGCCGCGTGCTGACACTGAGGCAAATCCAGCAGAAGAGCTGCCACCATCTCTACCAGATGATGCGCATGCGTAAAAGTGGACCTACTTTGTTTGGGGCAGGCAGGGCGTGTTTTTTACTCGTCCTCCTCGTGGGAGGCTGCGCCAATTATCGCACCCCGGGTAACGAGAAGGCCGCTCCAATAGCGCAAGCTTTGCAAGTGCAGCAGCGCTATGTGGGTGGGCTACTGAAGTTCGTGACCTGCAGTGACGACTGCGAGCCAGTGCCAAAAAAGATCTTGGATACTGGCGAGGTGCGCAAGCAAGCAAATTTTATGCCAGCTGGATCTGGCGACTCTAGCACTAAGGCTGTGGCTTTGCCGGTTGGTCTGGCCAAGGTCTCGGTGACGACGACGATCACTCCTGCTCCTGGTGTGCCTGCTGCGCAGGCTTCCAGGGTGTCAGGGCCAGGGAAAAGCACTCAAAAGCATGTGCGGCAAGGGTTGGGTTGGTATGTGGTGTATTTCGAGGGCTTGAGCGATAGTTTAAGCCCTCGCGCAAAGGCTGTTATAGCTGAGGCCGTCCAGGATAACCACGACTATTCGCAAGTTGTTTTGTTGGGTGGCTCTAGCGGTTCCAGCGCCAAGAATAAGGTTCTAATCCGTGATCGTACCAGAGCGGTGAAGCGGACTTTGATGGGCCTGGGGGTCGATAAGCATCGGTTGCTTGTTCGTTCCGCAGCCCACACAGACCCCACTCCCAACTTGGGGGCATCGCTGGGCCTAAAGCTGCGTGGAATGAAGCGCAGGGCCGGTCCTGAGGGGATGAGAAGAGTTGAGCTGCTGTTTCTAAAGAGGGTGTGATGATGACGTATTTACTTCTATTTTGTTTGTTGTGGATAGTGACTTTTGGGCAGCTTGCGCGGCTGGTTGACTCCTCTACTTCATATGTGCCAACCAAAAAAAGTGCTCTCGTGATTGGTGTTGGGTTGTTATTGGTCATTCTTTTTTTTGGTATTGCTTGGCTCATAGACTTAAATGATGTGCAAAAGTTTGAGCGGGACAAGACGATGGTGATGAAAGGTGAGTATGTGTTTTTGTGGCTTCTTGGAGTCGGGAGTTTGATTGCAATAGTGTGTTTTGGTTTTTTGCTCAATTGTCAGCGTAAATTTAGTAGATCACTTGGGTTTGGTGCTATCGGGGAGTGTGTGGTTGGTCTGGTGATAGGCCTTTATATGGCCTTTGCCTTGATCGATCAGTTGAGTTTTTGGGCTTCGTCTCGGGGTGATGTGGGTTTCGTTAATTTGAGTTTTTTTGAGGGTGCCGTTAAGGACATTCATTGCGATGGCGAAATCCTGCTTGTGAAGGATTTTGCGTCAAATCAGGCCATTTACCGCTGCTCTTTGCCTGGTGCGATGGTGTTTGGTCGCTATTCTGTAGTGCCTTTTGTTCTGTGGCCGGGCTATCGGGAGGGTATCAGCCGTGATTTGCCTGTGGCTTTGAAAAATATGGGTCTGGATAGACGGATGCAGGAATAGAGAAGTGCAATATGAGTGAATCCATACCAAATGACTCTCCGGCCAAGGAGGATGTGATGCCGGATCCGGTTTTAAATGAAGAGGCTGCGCGGGTTCGGTGTGATTGGTTTTTGCCATCACTGAACCTCACGATCAAAGTGGAAGTAGATACCCGGGCAGAGAGGGTGTGGGTTGAGGGTAAAGAGGTGAGGCTTTTAAAGGGAAACCAGATTTAGGAGATTTATATTGATGATGTCACTTCTTATTTATGCGGTTGGTTTGACTCTCGTCTTCTTGCTTTTGATGGTTTTAGTGGCGGCTATGAGCATGGCGAAAGCCATGCGCAGTTTTGAGAGTGGTGCATCATGAATGATATTAATGTTTTACCTATCCTCGATGAGGAAAGAAGAAAGCATGAAAAGCTATCTGTCTACTATATTGATGAAATGCAGTATTTGGCCTTTCACAATGAGGAAGCTGCGCAATTTGTGACCCATATTATTGAAGCATTAAGAAGCTTTATTCCTGGTGTGATTGAGGGGGTCAAAATTTGGAGCTATCGCTATTGTGAACGTGCGACCGTACTGGCTTGCTTTGAGTCGGTCACTGGATCCGGTGAGTTAGACTTAGAGTTCTCTGCTGATCAGGTGCTTATAGGCAAACAGTTCCATAAATATGGCTCAATCGACAATCATCCATTGGCCAGCTACTATTTGCCGGATGGGGTGGATGCTTTTTATTTGATTAAACAGGTATGTCAGGCGTTCGATTTAAGTGAGCTGGTTTTTGAGGGTGGGNCAATATGTTAGGAGTGCATTTATGAGGCTATTCATTTGTGAAAAACCCTCCCAGGGCCGAGACATTGCCAAGCACGTGGGGGCCAATTCTTCTGGCAAAGGTTGCTTGACTGGTAATGGTGTTGCCGTAACCTGGTGTATAGGCCACTTATTGGAGCAGGCAGAGCCGGAGGCTTATCTACCTGAGACAGCTTCTAAATATTGGGATTTGGCGGTGTTGCCTATCATTCCACCTCAGTGGAAGATGGTGGTCAAGCCATCCGTCAAAGAGCAGTTTGGTTCTGTCAAAGCCTTGCTGGCCAAGGCCAGTGAGGTGGTGATTGCTACGGATGCAGACCGAGAGGGCGAAGTCATTGCCAGGGAAGTGATGCAGGTTTGCGGCTACAAGGGGCCGGTCCAACGTCTTTGGCTGGGCGCACTGGACGATGCCAGTGTGAAGAAGGCGCTGGCCAAGTTGTTGCCAGGTGCTAAAACATTGCCCATGTACTACTCTGGAATGGGCAGAAGCCGAGCAGACTGGCTGGCCGGAATGAATTTGACAAGAGCACTTACCAAGGCTTTTGGTGCGGGAGGTAAGGATGGAGTTTTGTCCTGTGGTCGTGTGCAAACACCCACCCTGGGGCTGATTGTTCGCCGTGAGCGGCAAATTCTGAATTTCAAACCCAAGACCTATTATGTTCTTGATGCAGTTTTTGAGATGATGAATGCCGTGGTACCAATGGGCTGGCAGGCGCCGCAGGCGATGCTGGATAAAGATGGGCACTTGGTACAAAAAGCCGCCGTAGAGCAGGTGGCCAACAAGGTGCGCAACCAAGCAGGGCGCCTGGTGAAGGTAGACATCAAGCCCGAGCGCGAGTTGGCACCGCTGCTTTACTCGCTGGGTAGTCTCCAGCAAGAAGCGTCCAGGCGTTACGGAATCAAAGCCCAGGCCGTGCTTGACGCGGCACAGGCTTTGTATGAGAAGCATAAGGCAACAACCTATCCGCGCACAGATTGCGAATACTTGCCTGAGTCGCAAAAGGCGGAAGCGCCAATGGTCTTAGAAGCATTGGGCAAAACGGAGCCATCCATGTACCCGCTGGTGCAGTTGTCTATTAAAAATCAAAGCGCAAAAGTACGCTGTTTTAACGACAAACAAATCACGGCCCACCATGCCATTATCCCGACCACCAATCCAGCTGTGAGGGTAGGGGAGATGAGCAGTATTGAGCGTAAGGTATACGATCTGATTTGCAGGCGTTACCTGGCTCAATTTCTGGGCGATTACGAGTACAGCAAGACAGTCATTGAAGTCGAGTGCGTGGATGAGCTCTTTGCGGCCACCGGTAAAACCCCACTCAAATTGGGTTGGAAACAAGCCTATCAAGGCCTGGAGCAGGGTGATAGCAAGCCGAAAGGGAGACCTTCGGCTGATGATGCAGAGGAAAGTGGCGAAGATGCGCATAAAAATGCGTCTATTCCCTCTGTCAAAGTCGGTGACCAGGCTATCAACCGCAAGGCCAATGTGAACGCCAAACAAACAAAACCGCCCAAGCGTTACACCGAGGGCACTCTCCTGGCCGCCATGGAAAACATCGCCAAGGAGATAGAAGACCCTCGGTTGAAAAAAATCATGCAGAGCAAAGAAAAAGCAGGAATAGGGACCGATGCCACCCGGGCGGAAGTGATAGAAACGCTGTTTAGGCGGGATTTCATAGAACTTGATAAGAAAAATCTCCTCCCTAAACCCAAAGGTATGCAACTCATAGAGCTGATCGAGCGCATAGAGCCCAGCCTGGCCGATCCCGTGCTTACCGCCGAGTGGGAGGATATGCTGGGACAGGTAGAGGCTGGCGCGATCCAACTGGCTGAATTTGAGGCGGATATTGCTCAGTGGCTCAGGACTTTGATCGACTCTATTAAAGCCAAAGCAGAATCTGAGAGCCGTATTGCGGTCAAATCAGCAAGAAATCCGACTGGGCAAGGGGTAGATATGGCTCCCAAGCCAACTGCCTATAAATGCCCTAAATGCGCGAGTTCATTAAGTCAGATAGGCCGTAAGCTGGAGTGCAAAGCTGGTGGCTGTGGTTTTGGGATGTGGGCCAGCGCCTCAGGTAAGGATATTCCGGCCCAGGATATTGAAGCTTTGCTTGCAGGCCGAGAAACAAATTTGATTGAGGGCATGAAAAGCAAAGAAGGCAAGCTCTTTGCAGCTAGGCTCAAGTTGGATGAGAATGACTGGAAGGTTAAGTATGCGTTTGAGAACACTCGCGCACAAATGCCAGCTCAAAATTCAGCTGGACCAGCCAAATCGCCCGTAATGCTCACTGGCAAAGAAACCTATCTCAAGGTGTCATTTGACGATAAAGACAAAGTCAAAGCCCTGGGTGCTCGCTGGAGCAGTGAACGCAAGGCTTGGTATGTGCCAACTGGGGTGGACTCCAAGCCTTTTGAACAGTGGATGTGAGTGAAGGAGGCATAGCCATGAACATCGTTCCTCTGTATGAATGGTCTGGCAGTCTGCTGGGGCTTCTGGGTGCTTTTCTATTGGCCACCAACACCAGAGTCTCTAAATACGGATGGCTGCTGTTTCTGCTGGCCAATGTGGCCATGGTGGCCTTTGCCATTTCTGTCGGTGCTAATGGTCTGCTGTTGCAGCAGCTGGGGTTTACGGTTTCGAGTTGCCTTGGGCTCTATAGGGCAGGACTGTGGCCTAGGCTACAAAGAATTGATGAATGGAGACTTAAGTAATGGTTATGCCTTTGAGTAGTAATTTTGACAACCGGTATTTCTTTAATCAAAACCCAATCTCAAACCCGGAGGAACTGCAAAAACTCTTGGTCATTATGGGGGTGGTTCATTACATGAGGCTGGTTTTAAATCATTCTAGGCATCAGGGTAAAACAGATATGCAGCAATTCAGGCTGTATCAGGACACAGCCGTTTCGTCCATTCGTTCGTTCAATGTGAATGGACCTGCTGCGCTTGTTGCCGAAGTAGTTGATAGGGCAGCCCAAGACCTTAGGTCCTGCACAGACTACATCTTGGAAGTGTTGAATTGATGAAGAGACTGTACTTTTTTGTACTGACATTGGTGGCCACCCTTGCGCACGGGCAAGAATTAACCTATTTGGAGCGGTGTTTAGGTGGTGTCGTGCAGTCGCGGCAGTGCACCACCACAATAGCCAATTTTTGGCGGCATAACCCGCAGATGCTGGCGGCCGCCCGGGCGACGGGCTTAGAGCCTGCTCTAATCCGCGCTGTGGCCGCTGTGGAATCTCGCTACAACAGCCAGGCCAAGTCTCCAGCTGGGGCAGCTGGGGTTATGCAGCTGATGCCAGGTACTGGGCGCATGCTCGGCTTGGATGAGCGTGGCTTGTATCATCCCGGAGCTAATTTGTATGCCGGTGCCCAATACCTGGCTCAGATGCATGATTTATTTGACGACTGGAGCTTGGCCATAGCCGCTTACAACGCAGGGCCAGGAGCCGTTAAAAAGTATGGTAATCGAATCCCGCCCTATCAAGAGACCCAGAACTATGTGCGTAGCGTTTTTCGTTTTTATGCCTTGTTCAAGGCGGCTGAGGTGAGGGCAGGGGAAGTGGATCAAGAAAAAATTGATGTGCAGGTGAGCACTCGCGAACTCAGGTCTGAATAAAGTGAGAGGTGATGAGGGCGAAACGCCTAAATTTTGATAAAAGCAGCTCGTGCTTTGTGGGGGCATCACTTGGCATCGGAAAGGAGGTCACTTATCCACAGAAAATGTGGATAAGTTTTTAGATTGCAGCAAACCTATGGTTAAAACGGGGCATTCTAACTATACGCTGTTCAAACAGCAAAAGTGTGTAAAACAGGGGGCTGAAGGTGATTAAACCAAAGGCTGGCCCTCATGCCCCAATTACCAGAAGTACAAGCCTTTTTGGATAGTATTCGCTGGGAGGAGGGCTTGTCTGCGCTCACCGTAGTTGGTTATAAGTACGACTTGCAGCTCTTGGCGAGATATTTGCATTCAAAAAGTCTAACAGAAGCACGCGAAGATGACATCAAAGCATATTTTGTCAAGCGAGAGGGGGATCTCACGGAGGGGTCTATTAACCGTCAAATCGCAGCATTTAGACGTTTTTTTTCTTGGTCAAAAGACAGAGGTCTGGTCTCTGATAACCCGATGGGCAATATCCGCTTGGCAAAAGCGCAAAAAAGGCAAGCTAAACAGCAGCTCAGTCAGGCCGACATTCAAAACATGCTGATGACATTCGACACCAAGACAGCGCTTGGTATGCGTAATCGAGCGATCGTGGAGTTGATGTATGCATCAGGTATCCGCGTCAGCGAACTCATCAACCTGACGCTCTATAGCCTTAAATTGACCGAGCGGCACGCCCATGTCGTAGGCAAAGGTGGCTGCGCTCGGGTGGTGATTTTTGGAGAGGACGCTCAGCGCTGGCTGGACTCTTACCTACAGCATGTAAGGCCGACCCTATCTTGTACCAGAGAGACGACCTTTTTTTTGTCCATGCAGGGCAAAAAACTAAGCAGGGATCGCGTCCGCTGTATCGTCAGAGAAGCAGGAGAAAAAGCACGGCTTGCCTTGCCCGTAACGCCACATTGTATTCGGCATGCATTTGCCTCGCACCTGCTGGAGGGTGGGGCAAATTTACGTGCAATACAGATGTTATTGGGGCACATGGACTTGGTCACAACTACCGTTTACCTTCATTCATCGAGGAAATCGCTTAAAAAGATCGTCGCCGAGCACCACCCGAGGGGTAAGTAAAGCAATGTCCTCCTGTGCAGTTTCCGCTGGGTCATTACAAGGCGTTCCCGAGGCTTTAGAGACCGAGCGCTTGGGGTACCCGAACAGCGGCCCGCCTGCTGGGCTGGCAGCTGCGCAAGCGTGCTGTGGGCCTGCGTATACAGGCACGGCCCCCTCAGTGACCAAAGCGCCCGATGAGGGCCAGGCAACGGATTTGTGCCGAGTATGGTCATGACTTTTTGACCAAATATGAGGGAGCATTTCTGTCCCTCAAAATGATCACTTTCTCAGTCCCCCAGATCATGCCCCAAGTGACCAAAATAAGGGCTATTCGATCAAGCATTAAGAGAGTGTGGTTCTGTGTTGGATGAAATAACCCATTGACGAGGTTTATGTTGAGCTGTCTATCCGTAACAAGATAAGTGGTACAGAATATCGCAATATCTAGGATAAGTGCATGAACCCAGCTTTTTGTCCAGTCACTAATGATATGGGTTAAGTAAGCCACAAAGACGAACGAAAGCAGGTGAATGAGGATAGATGCCAAAGATGAGCGTTCGCCAAACAGGAATCCCAAAATCCAGACCTCAAAATTGAACCACCCCAACAGGAGGAGGGCGAGAATACTGCCGCGATTTCCTACTTCGCAAGCACTTGCAACGTTGGCTAGGGGAGCAACGATACCGTTCCTATTTCAACTGTAAATAAAACCTGTTTTTGTTGCATGATCAGCTCCCAAAGAAAACGCCCGCCAAAGATAAACCGAGCCACTTCTACCTTTATTTTGGAGTTGATGGACTTAGGGTTGCCCCATTCCAGAGGAGACATTTTGGATATTAAAAGTTCAATTATCTACGAAGCTTTGAGGTGCTTCCATCTTTAGCTACACGTTGATTTAGAGTCCGAGGGTGCAATCGTAACCGATTTAAAGAGGCCATAGCCGAGCACCGCCCGAGGTAAATAAAAGCTTAAAAATAGCCATGATTTGTCACCGCTATCAAATTGAAGTGGCTTTGATTTAGAATGTTCAAACAGTGTATGCGTCAGGCTTCGGTTACGGGTAGAGGTTAACGGACTGGCAGCACACACAGACACATATAGACACACACCGGAGGTTCCCATGAGCGTTTCCCTTGCATCAGCCTTTGGCTCCCACACCATCACAGTCCACTCAGCGGCCATGCCTGAACTGCTGGGGCAGCCCGCGCTGGAATTTAAATCCCTCCAAGGCGTGGAAAAACTCTCCGAACTCTACGCCTATCGCCTAGAGCTGCAAACACCAGCGCATGACTACATCAGCGAGCAGGCCAGCGCAAACGTCGATTACAAAGCCCTGGTGGGGACGGAGTTTTCTGTAGCGATTGAGCTGGAGGGCTCAGGCACCTACATCCCTGGTATGCCTGGCGGGGCAGCGGCCAACCAGGGCGCGGGGGTGCGCCATATTGCGGGCATCGTCACGCAGGCCCGCTATGTGCGTACTGAGAACCGTCGATCTGTTTACGAAATCCGGCTCGAGCCCTGGCTAACTCTGGCCACCCGCACCGTTGATTACCGCATCTACCAAAACAAAAGCGCTTTAGACATCGTCAAAGAGGTCCTTGCCCGCTACAACTACGCCGCTGAAACGCACACGGGCAATACCTATCCCAAGCTCACCTATACGGTCCAATACGAAGAAAGCGATTATGCCTTCCTTACGCGCCTTATGGCGCAATGGGGCATGTATTGGTACTTTGCCCATAGCGGCTCGGGCGATGGTCTCGCAGTCCACAAGCTCTTGATTGTAGACGGCGCGGGCGCTCACCAACCCAACCCGAGTCAGGCGTACCAGCGCATTGCCTACTACCCGCCTGGCCACANCCAACTCAGCCTAGGCCATATCACCCGCGTTGAAGACAACCAAGGCCGCAAAGACTACCGGGGCGAAGGCTTTGAGCTGAGGACGGACGGGCACGGCGCAGTAAGGGCCAAGGACGGTCTGTTAATCAGCACCGAGGCCCGCCCCAAGGCCCAGGCCCACATCACCGATTTAAGCGAGACTGTAGGCCGTTTAACGGCGGCCCGCGACCAGCATGAAACCTACGCCCATGCTGCGCAAGAAGCCAAGGTGCAGGACAAAAACGACCAACAAGCCGTATCTCAAGTCCTCAAAGCGCAGAACGAAGCGATCAAAGGCAAGGCACAAGACGGCACCGAGGATAAAACGCCCGAGCTGATAGAGCCGCATCTGGTCCTGGCCAGCCCAGCAGGCATAGAGGCCACGACCACTAAAACCGCCCACCTGGCCGCAGGGGAACACATCGCCCTGACCAGCACCGAACATACCAGCATCAGTGCGGGTAAGAGTCTCTTGGCCACGGTCAAAGACTCCATCAAACACTTTGCGCAAAAAAGCGGGATTAGGATCATCAGCTACTTGATGGACATAGACATTAAGGCCCTTAAAACCAACCTGAATCTATTTGCCAAACTGGAAATCACCCAACAGGCCAACCGTATCACCATCACTGCTAAGGAAGAAATCCTGCTCAATGGTGGCGATAGCTTTATCTTGATTAAAGCCGGTGAAATTATTACCGGCTCGCAGGTCTTAAGGGTCAAGGCGATGCTCGAGAAGACCGGAGCCACCACCCTGCAAGCGCAGGGGCGCGAAATGCCTGACCCTGCCTTTAACGACAAATTTCAAGTACTCGATAGGAAAGGCCAAGCCGTGGCGGGGGTCAAATACCGCGCAATCTTCCCCGACGGGGTAGTCAAAGAGGGTGTTACCGACGCGATGGGTCATATCCCCATCGCCAAAAGTCTGGCCCCCGATGGCCTCAAAATAGACCTACTCGGGCATTGATCCACAAAGGTGCAATATGGCAAACGACTCAAACTCCACACCACCGCAACGCAAAGCCCAACAAGTCGCCCCCTCTGAAGGTGCTGTGGCAAGTTATAAATGGACGCTTACCCACCGCACAAAAACCGGTCCCGTTATCTTACCCTACCAACCTACACGGGTATTGCCTATTATTTTTGTGCCTGGCATTATGGGGAGTAATTTGTGCGCCATTGGGCAAAACAGGCCAGATAGTGATGGGCGGGTTTGGATTGTTGATGATGCGGCCGCCGCATGGAGCGCTACAAGAGGAAAGAAGCCAAAGGACAGGCAAGAACTACTGCACTTTACCCGTACCGAAGTTTACAGCCACGGCGCTGTGCCTAAATCTCCGGCTGGGTCCATAAGTACCGAAGAGCAGTTTATCGCGCGCGGTTGGGGCGAAGTGGGGGCGATGTCTTACGAGCCATTTCTTATTGAGCTGGAGAATATTCTTAACTCAGGTCAACCCGATGGCAAGGTTAAACCCAATCTAGCCAAAGCCTTAGCGCTGCTCATGACAAAACGCACTACGCCCCAAAGTGCAGGTTTATGGCACCCAACGAAATCTTTTGAGAACTTCGACTCTGGGGATGTGCAAACCGTAGACGATTTTTTTACTCCCGTCCACGCTTGCGGATACAACTGGCTGGGCGATAACAAAACCGCGGCGGTGCGCTTAAAAAACCGCATCAATGAAGTGATTAAACAATACCATGACGGTAAAAAAAGCTTTTGCAAACAAGTCATTATCATGACCCACAGTATGGGTGGGTTAGTTACACGATCATTGATTCAGCAGTTTGGCAGTGAGATAAACGACAAAATCGCGGGCGTATTGCATGGCGTAATGCCCACCGATGGTGCAGCTGTGGCTTATAGGCGTTGCAAAGTGGGTATGCAAGACGAGGATTGGCAGGCGGCCTTAGTCATCGGTCAAAATGGCGAGGAAGTGACCACCGTATTTGCCCAATCCCCAGGCGCTTTGGAGCTATTACCCAACCAAAACTATCACCACGATTGGCTCAAGCTCGAAGACGAGAAAGGCCAAACCATCACCTTAAGCGGGCAAGACCCCTACAGCAGCGTTTACCGTGTAAAGGACAAATGGTGGGGCCTGGTCTATGAGCCTTGGATAGACCGCAGCGATAGTAAGTTTCCGATTACGTTTGCTGATTACTTAGGGTACTTAAAGTTTGCTGATAATTTCCACAAAACCCTAAGCACAGAACACTACCACCCCAATACCTATGCCTTTTATGGAGCCAGTATGGGCGGTGGCACAGAGAGTTTTGAGACAGTGGTCTGGCAATTGGATAGCCAGGTCTTACCAGAAGACCCCGTTCCTAATGCCAGCGCCTATATGATGGGCATACAAAGCGGTGTGCAAGACCCCATTAAACGCACTCCCATGCCCAGCCCATTAGATGCTAAAAATATGGGCTATGAGCGCTTGCACAATTTGGGCCACAATCCCTATGTACTAGGCGATAGAAATATGCCCATAGGCACGGTGGGCGCTTTGGGCAATGAGCAATATGTTTTAAAGGCCAATAAACAAGACAGCGCGGGCGATGGCACCGTCCCCTTAATCTCAGGCAAAGCAGCAGGCGCCAGTAATAAGGTCAAACAAGCCTTTGCCTTGCATGGAATCAAACACGAACCGGCCTTTAATGATTATGTCCTTACGCGACAAGTGGCCGTATACAGTATCCTGAAATTACTGGGCCAGGCCAAAGACCCCCTTAAAGCATGACATTCACCCTATGGATACGGTCACAAAAGTGGTGGTACGGACTGAGTACACGCCAGCGCGTAATTTGGACGCTGACGGCCTCTTTGGCCCTTTTGCTTGTATTGCTTAGCCTTGCAGGCCTCAACCCCTATTACCGCCCGTTTTATCGGCCCTTTTATTGGACTCCAAATATGAATATCCCTACCGAATTTGAAACCCATTGCTTTGGCCGCTATCTGATAGACCTGCCCAAGGGGTATAAGCCCAGCGGCACCTACATATGGGGTTTGGGGCGGCTGATATACGGCAATGATGCGAACTTTAAAAGCGTCTATATCACCATCAAAGATGAGGACTATACGCCGGAGCGTTTTAGGCAGGAGCTACAAAAATATGCCGATGGCCTAAAAGCGCAAGTCAATGATTTTGATAAAAAATCTATGTTACTGGCCTATACCAAGTTTAATGATCAGACTTTCTTAATTCGCAAAATTGATGACTCATATGGAATAAGTCTAAAAAGCGAAATTCATCAGTTAATAGGTAAACGGTATGTAATCATTGATGGGGAGTCTTATCCCCCTGCTGATAGCAAGGGACTTTCTGAGGAAATGTATATTCATCGTAATCCAGCCCCAACCGAAGCGCGTTTGGGCAAAGTATCAGCCAGTATGCGACCTGTAGGCGACCCCTTAAATAGCCCACCAGGTTTTTGCTATGGTGGGGTGATTTTTAATGCCGATCAAGACAATGAGAGTGGGAGTTTTGATTATGAGAACCCCGCCATGGATTTGGTTAAATTTCATATTTCGTACTATGCGGTCTTAAATGCCCAAGGTGCCATGTCTGATAACCTCTATGAGCGCAGTAAGGATATTCCTCTTGAGCTGCGCTCCACCATAGACACGCTACGCAAAAAAGACCGTGCTTTTAGTGATTCGCAGGCGCATGAATTGCTGGCGCGTATGAATTATCAGAACATCCCACAGCATGTTTTTCATATACAAAGGTATTCCACTGAAGGCACCAGCCTAGCGAAGCCAGATTTTGAATTAAGCCTAGAAAGTGGTGTTAATGACTCCCCATCTCCTATTTCAGACAAGCAAGCCATAGAGCTATGGGACAAGGTGGTCAAGTCGGTGCGGCCGCGCCCTGGCGCTGCTTATGGGGCCAAGGTGAGCATAGATAGCCATCAATGCAAATCGGGAGAAGTCTGTCCTAAAACGGGTTTATGGCACGCATCCAGTACGGACTCGACTTACTGGATACCACACGAAATGGCTCGCATACCGCCGCAATTTGTGCAGCAGGGCGCACCCATGCCCACTATGGCTATGCCGTGGGATAAAAACGCAGCCCTTAAAGAGGCCAGCATTAGATGGACGTGGGTGGGTGAAGGTCATCAGAGGAGCTAGGCGATGAGCAAAAAAATTATTGTTCTGGGGGATACGACCGACCACGGCGGAGCCGTGATTAGTTGCGCGTGCAGTGATACTGTGGACGGCAAACCCATTGCTGCTGTTGGGGATATAGTGGACTGTCCCAAGCATGGCAGGAATCCTATTGTTGAGGGCGATGGGAGCTTTATGCTGGACGGCGTACCCGTTGCCCTGGAGGGCCATAAAACACAATGCGGCGCGGTGCTGATAGGCAGCGTGGGAGATACGGTCGGATAGGCTTTCGACCCCTACGTTCGGAATGGGCCTCAGAAATTACCCCATCTTGTTATCCGATACCCTGCTGGCCATACGCAAGAAGCAGGGTTGGAGCCGGGCCGAGCTGGCAGAGCGAATCGGTGTTACAGAGAGGATTTTGTATTCGTGGGAGCAAAAACGCACCCGCCCCCCGCATTCAATGGTTCGTGCGGTAGAAGCACTCGCAAAACAGCTGGAGGTAGATACGCAGCCGCGTGATGCCGCAGAAAAGAAAGCTTTGCAGCGGGCGGTTTTGCTATCAGCCAAATTGCAGGCCCTGCAAAACAAGCAGGGTTTGAGTCAGGCGGCTTTTGCTCGCCAGTTTGGCATTTCAATGGATACATTGGTAAACTGGAAATATGGGCATACCAAACCACCGCCAGACAAAGCACAAGCCATTGACAAGATGGCAAAAAAGCTGGGTATTGAAATTACCCATGTTGCCTTTCCTGAGCTACCCCATTGGGCCGCTACCGTACATGCCATTCGTACTGCCCTAGGCGTATCTACAGCTGGCCTTGGTCAACGCTTAGGGATGGCTGAAAGATACGTCAACGTCATCTACTGGGAAGCGGGGCTTAAAACACCCAGTTTACGAAATGCCCAAGCGCTCCTTGCACTGGCGAAAGAATTGGGTATACAAATTCCACAACAGGGTCAACAAGCGAGTGGACAAACTCAAGACAGCTATTTATGGGCAAAGCACATCAAAAAAACGAAACCCG